GGGGTTCTTTGAGAGCAATGGGGGGTGAGGGTCGATGAAACCCTAGCTCTCATATCCTGTATACAGGGCCAAAGGCCCGAAACTAAGGGTTGTGTGGGGAGAGCGATGCCACGTTGTTGTCATTATATCACCATGTTATGGTGAGGAGAAATTACCACGTCGTGGTGATCTAAACAGTACATCATGGTAAGGTCAAATCCATAAATTTAAATTGAATTCACAAAAGAACTTTTAAAGAATAATACTTGAAAATTCGGATGTTATAGATCTTTTATTATTCATACAACATATCAAGCTCCTTAGAACTTTTCTCAACCCATTAAGAGCTTAATCACTCTACATATCAAAATGAACTCTCAATTGATCATAATTCTCATCTCTTTTTATACCCCTAAATCTATTATATTCCATGAATTAAACATTACATACTACCTAATTCATTACAATCTAAACTTTATTGCATCAATTCATCTCTCTCACTAGTTAGGGTTTGAAACCCTAACTATCTATATATGGATTTCACCATGGAAGTCACATCCAAATCTTGTTCAAAGATTCTAAACATTCTCAATAACACACAAATTGAGTTATAGGTTGCTTAACTCAAGCAATCTAGTCAAAACTAACAATTTTACCATTAAAGCTCAAAGCTCCATTAAAAGGGGAAATCATTACTAACAATTTCATCATTTAGAGGGAACATCCTTGAAATCCTCCATTTCTAGCTCATATTGACATTCTTTTGGCATCAAAATCGTCATTCTTCAGTTCTCCTTCGAATTAGGGAGTTTTTATGGCTCGAGAATGAGGTTTAACAGATTAAATATCTATTTTGGCAGTGTCACCACACTGTGGAAACCTTCTTACCACGTTGTAGTGACTGCATTTCACAGTCCAGCTTTGTCCATTTTCCATTCCAACTTAAAATATTTATAACTTCTTCGTTTCAAACCCGGTTTTAGTGATCTTTATATACACATGAAGGTATTAACAAGCCCTACAATTATGTATAATTAATTTTGCATTAATTCATATGGAACTTAATCCATTAATCCATGCGAAAAGCTCAAAAGTAGTATTTTTCCCTTTTTCTAATGCATCTTCAAAGATGCATATCTTCTTCATCTTATCTCCATTTTCTACAAATCTTCTATCCACACGAAGGTGGGGATGATTTCTACAACTCCATTAAGTCACTTCAGACTAACTACTTATGAGTCTTACTATATTAAGTTGCAAACATGGTCTAAAAAGGTATAAAATTCCCATTTTGCCTTGTATGGCCTAAATGCACAATCTATTGCATTTTTTTTATCTTGAACCCATTTATCTCATCTTCTAAAATTCACTTAGACTTATCTTGACTCAATTCATGACATTACATCTTCTCAATTTACGAATTCCTCCAAATGACCAAATTGCCCTTTTGGTTGACTATTCACCCAAAATCACATCTTTCCAAATTTTGGGTTCTTACACAATTCCACCATCCCATTTAATATCCATTCATGAAATAATGTTTACATCATTAACTTCAACATAAAACCCTAGATAAGACAATAGAGAAAGTAAGTTGCTTCCTAATCCCATGTATGGTACCATATTTCTCGTGGTCCATAATTAGATCCAACTCTCTCGTTTTATCTATTTTCTTCCCTTTAGTCTCATGCACATTCTTACAAATGGCAGCGCCATATCTTGAGTCCAATTCTCATGAGTGTCGTCTCGTGAATGCGTAATTGTATACAATGTGAAACCGAATAGTCAATTGAATAAGAGATTCTACACCAGAACGATTGGACTCAAACGAGAGTTGCGCACCAGGCTAAATCAGACATTCTAAGTCTATTTAGTTCCTATTGCATACAACCTAAAGCATTCATTTAACAACCTATCAGTACTAGCACAAATTCTAAATAGTACACATAACAGGCATCCAAATTAGCATGTGGAAAAAAAATCACACTACCTAGTATACATATAACAATCTCATATCCAAAGAAAATAAATAAGATTTGAACACTTTCCTTTTTTCCATTGGTACCAGCTGACTGTACACACACTACGATAGTGATCACCTTTCCCAAACCATTTCGTTTAGTTTCATAAAATTTTATTTTTCAAAATAACCCTTTGGCCGCGAACTTGAGTTCAGAACTCACCGAATTGAGCCTGGTTCTTTCAAGTTGTGCTCTGATACAAACTTGTAACATCCCGAAATTTACAATAAATTTGTATTTTTTAAATAACATAAATCCTTCATTTAACATTTTTATTCAAAGTAAATTTAAATCCAAAACCTAAGATCAATTCAATTACCAAAACCATTATCTGGTATAATTCTAAAATTTATGAAAACACATTTACTCCAATATTAAATATCCATTATCCTGCCTTTGAGTTAGTGTGTGCGATCACGCCCAGCCATCTTGTGTACCTGAAACAGTGTTTTAGATTGAGAAGGGGTAAACACAAAGCTTAGTGAATTCCACACATACACAATATCATATCATATAATCCTTGCCCTTATACACTAATACAAATGGTATCAACACATAACCATGTATGCATGTCAAAAAACAAATCAGAAACATACATACTCCTACTGGGACACATTGGCCAGGACCAATCCCCCTTGCTTTGTACGTTGAGTCCTTGGGACACATTGGCTAAGCCCGATTGGGACACATTGGCTAAGCCCGATCCCCCGTACCTGAACCTATTGGGACATATTGTCCAAGCTCGATCCCCGTTGCTTAGTTCGTCGAGACTTTGGGACACATTGGCTACGCCCGATCCCCACTCGGATTCGCCGAGTCCTACCATGCATAATCCTCAATACATGAGGGAAACGACTATACTCTACCCCGCTAATACTACCCGTATAAACAACACATAGCACACACAAGCTAACGTAAAGAAAATATAATACAACACGGTGTAGTAAGAATCTCACCTCCAAAAGCAAAACAACCTCCAAAGCAATCTGGTACTCACTCACACCGGCTCACCCTTCACATTTCCTAATAATAACAATTTAAGTTAAGTTTAGCTACTTATTTACCCTAATTATGCAAATAGGAAAATGGGTTAAAATTTTAGATTTCTACATAAAAATTAAGGTATGTTCGGGACGTGTTTTCCCACCTAAAACTTTATATTTTGCAAAACTGCACTACATGTAGATAGTTCAGGTCCCTACCTTTTCAGGGACTAATCACATGCCTTCACAAGATTTTTCTACAATTTATGGCAAATTTTACAAAATTGCTTCGTATAGCAGCTCATTCCGGACCATTCTGAGTAAATGGTTGTTTTCACCCTCGTTAGAGGAATTTCTGACTTTCGGTCAAAACTAATGAAATGTAGTAACCTCATATACAAAACTTCGGGCACTGTTCTAGACACAAAATGCTGTCCCATGATTTTACTACCATTTTTACAAGACAATGACATATTAGTAAATTTCCAATATTTCCAGCTTTGTCTATTTTAGGGTTAATTAGCTTCTTAACCCATTAATACCTAATCAAAAGTGGCTTATTTTCTGGAAACAAGTCACTAGCAGTAGTGACAACCCATTGAGTCAAAAAGCCAATAAAAATTCCAATCACACACTCCAAAGTACATTCTTTATAAAGCCTATACAAAGTACAATGTTAAGATAGTAAAAACCATTAACTAGGGTTAGGTTTTTTCACACCACAATAGCCCCGAACGCCCCCTAAACCTCCACCAAACATGGAACACCACCACCTACTGGCAAGATGGTAGTGGTGGTCGACGGTGGCTGCCACCGCCAAGGTGGTGGTGGTGATTTCGAATGAAAGGAGAAGAAAAAAAAGAAAAAAATATCCTTACCTTTTACTTGTTGGAGCTTTCACCACCCAAACCACATCTCTTCCTCCTGCACAAGCCTTCTAATGTAGCTCCTCCCTTCTCTCTAATCATAAGCAGCCGAACCCCTTCTTTTTCCCGCTCTCTCTTGTTCTTGGCCCTAAACACATCGCACACCCTCACACAAACACGCACCTAACGAGGCTCGATATGTGTTCTCATGGGTTTAATTAGACTAAGTAAGTCTTGCTAAGGAACATGAAATCAGCCCCTAATAATTCTCGTCAAAACCATGCTTAAATTTCGAAATTTCCATTTTTGACCCCTATCTTTTCCATATTAACAAAACAGCCCCCTCTTGACAAAACCTTGACATTTTAGGTTTCCTAACTTGTCACTTTCAATCCATTTGCTGAAAATAAATTACAAAACCCTCTAATACATAAATCATAATTACTAATTCATTTTTAATTATTATATAGTCACGTAGAAATTATATAACACCTTTTATTTAATTATATTTATACTTATATTCTTTTATTAAAAGAACCAACGGAAAACGGGGTGTTTCAAGGACGTTACACAATGTCAAAGTAGAGAGAGGAAATGAAGGGAGGGAGGACGAAATTAGGGTTGCATTGGACGCTCCTTTGGTCTTGCCACCCTTATATAAGGAGTGGAAACCCTAATTATCCTTTCTTACACTCCCGCATTTGCTCCATTATGGTTACATTACCGTAATAAAAACCTTTAGCTTTCATTGGATAAAAAATCCTCATAATTAATTTATAATTATTTAATTTAATAACCAACAAACAACAAATTACTTATTCTAGTTAGTTATTCTTGTTTTTCTACTTAAGCCAAGTCTATAACCCAAATAGAGCCATGTAATTAATATTGTATCAGTAACTAGCTGCGTCAATTGACATATCTCCAACAATTTTTTGACTAGGGATATAACGAAATTTGACATATGATTTCATGTTCTATGCAACACACGATTAGGCAATATGATATCGATATGAGATTCCATATTTTTTGTGAAAAACAAAATTATCAAGGATATCAATTAGGTTTCTTGCATGTTTGTCATCATGTATGTTCCTAAGGATCTCTATGCTATACGCAAATTACGTGATAAATTAATGCATTTTTTTTTTGGCGACTTTTATGCGTATATTTGTAAAAAAAAATATATGTACATACAATGTTATGCGTATATATAAAATAAAAAAATGTTCAATTACGCTAGCCAAAACGATCTTTTCATCTCATTTCCTATTCAAACTCCCGATTTTTCACTTGTATCTGCACGAATCTCTCTCTCCCCTCGTCAATTTCCCAAACTACCCCTCATCTCCTACTCCTACTAATTTAAACATTCTTTAAAAGCTCGGGTTTGTGGAAATACTTGCGGTTCTTCTGTCGCGACCGCCACACGTACGCCAACGCACCAAACAGACAGCTGGCAACCGCAATGGCCATGGCAGCGCCAACTGGCACCACAATCGCGGTTCCCGATACCAAATCATCTGAGTCCACCTGGCTTGTGATGCTGACGTGGCTGATGATGTCGGTGTCCTTGTCTTTGTAACTAGACACAAGCATGTTCCCATAGTAGTCAAGTAAGAATTTGAACACCTGATTGTGGTCCCAGTTTATGGAAGAATTGTTTTCATTGGTTTGGTTTTTGGAGTAACATGAGGGGCAAAGTTGGTTTGGAGGGAAGGGTATTTTGGGAAATTTGGGGTCACCGGTTCCGAGAAGGGATTCGGTTTTCATTAGTCTTTCGTTGACTTTGTTGTGGACTGTCCATAACCAGAGGACAAATTCGCGGGTTGTGTTTAATGGAGTAGAAACACTGCAGATTGGAGTGTTTTTTTTTTGTTAGGATTCATAAATTACAACTTTGGTCCCCGTGTATAACTGATTATGCAATCTTCGTCCTTAAAAAGTTTTTTCTTGCAATTTTGCTCCTCATTTGAAGTTTTTGTAACATTTTTAGTCCCTGATCCAAGTTTTTGTAACTTTTGGGGAAAAAAAAGCAGTTACAAATAATAAGGCCAAATTCAATAAAAATAAATACTGTAGTTTGATTCATTTTGGTTTAACCATAAAAAAAAACCAAGTTAATCACTGAGTTTGTTTCTATTTTCAAAAAAACTATTGACTTTTTTTATAATGAATTGCAAATAACAATTGGAATAATATTTTTCTGGTTAAAGTTGTTTTTTTTTTTTTTTTAATTCAAAGTTTTAATGATAAATACTAAAAGAATTTTCGTGGAGCAGTTAAACTGAACAAATTCCAAATTATTGTAGTTTTATAGAATTTATAATTTTTAGGTGGTAACTTTTTTTTTTTTTTTTTTAAAAAGCCTAAGGTAAAGTGATTTTTATGGAATTTGGGCTTATAATAATGGACAAAAACTGTAATTTTACAGGAACAAGGTCCAAAAATGTTACATGAATCTCAAATAAGGACAAAAATTGCAAGAGAAAACTTTTTGGGACCAAATTTAAACAGTTGTATATACTCAGGGACTAAAAATGTAATTTAATCTAAAAGATTTGGAATTTGGAAATGGGAAATGTAGAATAAACCTTGAGCACATTTTATAAAAATGTTGACTACATTCTTCACAGATGAAAAACTTGTGGATAAAATCACAGGTGGCTTTGAAGGCAATCTGGCTCTCTTCATCATCTACTCTTACAGAAAGTGAATGTAATAGAGCCCATAACCCACAACTGTAAAAGGGCAAATTACTTAAATACCCTTTTGTGAAGAACTTGAAGAAGAGTGTTTCAAATGGTATACCTGAAGCCTCTAGTATCCTTCTTGCTACCACGACAAAACATCTACATTTCAAAATCATAAACAATAAGTTAAATGTTTTTCTGTAATTTTCCATTTAATGAATATATGAGATATTTTTTACCCAATATCCACGTGGAACTTGTTTTCCACAAATTTGAAAAGTGCTTAGAGCATCAAGTCCAATGATATTATCCACTTCATCTTTGTTTATTGATGATATATTTGAAGGGTATAAATCGTCAAAGTTCACAAGTATGTTAGCACTTCCCTTTCTGCACCTGAATTTATATATATTTACATTTAAAGATTATAAAAAATAGAAACTTTAAAGAAAAAGAATAAGGAAAATGTGGATATGAACCTTCTAGAAGGGTGATGAGCCACCATAAGTTGCAAAAACTTTATAAAGGTAGCACGAGTATCTGATTTAATCATCCATAAAAAAAACCAAATTGGAAAAAAGAAAATTAAAAATTGAGAGTGGAAAAGTACATTGCTATTATCTGCAATTTGTCTAAAATAACCTTGTGTTCCAAAATAATGTCAAAGGCAATGGTTGTGGATTCTTCAACATCATATATTGCACGAGCTACCTAAAAGACATAACTTATATAAGCTTTTTAATAAAAAAGAATTTTCTTTTTAAATATTAAAAGTGGAATTTAAGTATTTGAACTATCACTTCACAATGTATAAAACCTGTCCGGAGTCTGAGACATTTGATTGAAGAAGCTCATCATGTTCAAATTTCTCATCTTCCAACTCATATGAACTAAAAATAAAAGAAAAACATATTGTTATAAAACACGCATAAAGTAGAAAACAGATACAGACAATAAAGCAGAAAGCAGATATACAGATATATCTAAATTCTAAAACATTCTACCTTTTTAATTGTGTATTGATCCAATTGAGAAGGAGTTTAGATGATTCCCAATCTTCAACCAATTTTATTTCACTTTTTACTTTTTTACCATCATAACGACCAGCAATGAGTTTAGCAGGTGGGCCCCATAAGAGCACTGGGAAATAGTGTACAGAGAATGCTCTACAAAGTTTAGTATTTTCCTGTGTTGCCAAACATGTTTAAAGGTGAAAATTGACATACATAATTGATAATTTTTTAGTTTTAAAGGGGAGAATGAAAATTCTAAGTAATGATATTGATACCTTATGGGCACAGTCTAGTCTTGTCATCAAGATAATCCCAGGATGAATTGCATTTGCTCCATTGAAAAGCCTTGCAACTTTTTCATATTGGGGCTGAAAAATTAAAGCTTACATGATAAGAAATATAACAAATTTGTTGAGTACTTTGAGATGAGATTGATTTACAATATTAAGATGGAAATACCTTGTAGTTCCTGCAAGCTGGGCACCTACAATGGAAAGAAGTAATAATCAATAATGGTTGATCTTATTCATGTTTATGTAAGTCTCTTTCACGCAAACAAATAACTCCATACTTTCCCCCAATAGAAGGAGGCATCCTTATGAGTGAAAACAGGTAATCGTTTTGAGAAAAATGGATGAAAGTGTAACCAAATTGAGATTAATTCTGCATGCAGATGAACAAGTTTTGATATCAATGATGAAATTCTATCTCATTGCACGCATTTACAAATTGCAACATATTCTGATTCGTACGATATATGATTTTATCTTGATTCTTTTCGTCAGTAGTCATTCCGAATATTAAAACAAAATTGAAAATGAAACACAACTCCACACTAAGAGGAAAACCAAATCTCAAGCTAACATGACTAGACGTACAATTTCTCAACCTTAGTGATGTGCAATTTCATAAACCCTAGAAATTAATAGTAGGAAAATTCACCAGTGAGCGAAGAATTCAATAATGGCGTAAGCAGCAGGAGTTTCCTTGAGAACTGCATCGAAATTGGTGATGTTCAAATCAACCACCAAACTAGGTCGATCAGCGCCTCGTTTGATAGCACGTAGTATCGAACGTGATCCTAGCGTCGGGGAATTGGGCAAAGCGGATGATAACAATGATGAAGAGTCGAAACTCCAGAGAATGAAAAGCGTAGTGAAAAACTTAAACATTGAAGAGATAGAGATTGAGGGATATAGAGTCACCGGCGGAAGAAGGTGCATGTGAGGCTACCGGCGCAGATTAGGAACGTTGATGGTTGATCAACTATGGTGTTAGATGAGCAGGTGGAAGCAGACATGATTTTGTATACCGATTGATTAGCTCTCCATTGAAATGGCAAAATTACATTGGCCAAACCTTCAGGACTCCGTTTTGTTTTTTTATTCAGTATAATATATAATATACTAGGGGCGGTATAATATATTTAAAATCTTTGCAAATATA